CCGCCAGTGACGTTGCGTTCATACCCCACTGGTCCCAGTACCTCATCGTGGTGTGGAGGTTACTGGATGGTGAATTCTAACAAGATCGAAACTGGGATCAAGCTGCCACCACTTACATGCTACCCCACCCAGGAAAAAATTCTCACCTCGGGTTCGTCACTGTCGTTACGACAGTGTCGTACTCTGCATTCTGCTCCAGGATTTCTGGATTTCTCTGAGAGCGCCGTTATGCTGGATGGCTTCGTCCGCACTGGGAGAAGCTTTATTAGTGCATTCACACACTGGGACCCGGGACAGCTGATAATATCAGCCAGGCTGGTTGTATGCCATAGTAATTTTTGGCAGTATTTGCTAGTGGCATTGTTGTGAGAGGACGATTGGCCTATGGCCCACAAAAAGATTTGAATCAGCTTGAATTGAATGGAATTGAATTGCGTTTATGGGAACAGAAGTCTAAGTTGTTGTGTTGTGTGTGTACTTTCGGATCACCCGGTTCTCTTATGAAGACACACCGCCAGTTCTTCACTGGCTCTCCGTCATCCTCGTAGCCTATGAGTCGTAGGCTACGACTCGTATGCAAGGTACTCCAATATGTGCTGGTTTGGGTCTAGGTTCTCAGGATTGCACCTTCGAGGCATGATGAGAGTCACAATAGCTGAGGCTGATCGAACAAAGATGATCAAATCATCGTGAGGTGATCAGGAACGAAGCCGGCATAAGAGAGTTCTACACATGAGCATTGCCATGAGCGCGCGCCCGATCGATCGACGTCGTCTTTCATACACAACAAGTGAGTCAGGCCCATATTCGTGGTCTTTTGGAGTCCACTACTTAGAACAACAACCTCAGAATCCATCAAGAAACTACGGGTTCATCGTTGTTCGGTGTTTATTTTACATAATTCCCGAAAATGCAGGTATTATTCCCCAAAATAATTCCTTAATTCCCTTCCCCGGGAATATTCCCGGGAATAATAGGTATAATTCCCCACTTTCAGCCACCCTGCAGGAAAGTGTGCGCATGGTCAACTACATTTGTTGGTGTGAAAACGAAAATTTTGAGAGATTTTTGCTGATCTCTGTACACTCCTACCTGAATTCGTGTGAACCTCTCAAATATACTGAGGAAACTTCTACGCACAGCTGAGGGAAGTGAACATATATTCCAACAACACTGCAATGAGAAAAGGCGATCACAGTTTTTCTCCTCCCCAGTTGACAGCAACACTACCAAAAATACAATAATGATACCAGAACTGAACAACAACCTTTCAGTGAAGCACGGACCTTCTCATCTGCGGTAAAAAATGTACCTGCAGCAGAAAATCGATTGAATACTCCCACCAGGCATCTCAACGTCAGTGAGGAAAAATGCACATGGCCAACTCCATGTGTCGGTGACAACATGGAAATTCTGAGGAAATTCTGGGAAATTCTTACTGGTTTGTGTAAACTTCTACCCGAATTTGTATGTGAGCTCTCCAACTGAGCTGAGAAAAGCGAACACATATTCCGACACTGCTCAACTTACATCAACATAAACATGCCCACCACGAATAACGCCAAGTATATCATCGCTCGCCCGCTCCCACTATCCATCATGTTCTGCAACTTCGCCATCGTCCCTTTCAGCATCTGACCACACGTCGCTTCCCTCTTCCCATAGGCATTTTCCTACGTCCCCGGCTTTATCGAATTGTCCTCCCATTCCGTTGAGAATGTTATTGGACTCCCTAGCCTCCCGACCGATTCCATGAGCAACCTCTTTAACAGCTCTAACTCGAGCGTCGAGTTCATCAAGATATTCGTCATTTTGCTGCTCCAATACTTGTGCACTAACTCCTCCCTGACAAAAGCGGTAATCAGATAATCCATACCATCCCTCGTTGAACTCACCCGAGATTGCATCTCCCTGCTCCCTGAATAGCGATTACCAAATAGAGCAGCTCTCTGGTCAACTTCAAACCTGAATAGACACCATCGAGCTATGCCGTTTCCACAACGCCCTATTATAACTACCTGTTATTGATACGCTCCCGAGCATCATAAGACTTTGATCCTTCCAAAGGGACGCTGTCACCCCCGTGCCTTCTGAGCTGTTCGTCTGCGCTGTTCGTAGGGTGACCTGCTGAGCTGTTCGTAGGGTAACCTGCTGCGCCTGTTCGTAGGGTAACCTGCTGCGCTGTTCGTAGGGTAACCTGCTGC